TTATGCTCACACTCTACCCGTGCATGCTCCTCTTGCGACAGAGATTTGACTAGCTAATGCCTGCTTTCGCTTCATACCTTGCTCGAGTTGTAATTTTATTTGTAGGATTGAGACAGATGCTCATCTATGATTTTGTTAAGAGAGATTTCCAACAGTGAATCCAAATTGTTGTATGATATTTTAATTATTCCTTTCGCTTTGAATAAATTTTGATTTCTCAAGGGCAATTTGATAAAAGTAGTGCTCGGCTAGGGTATTACATTTTGGTATCATAGCCGGTATCCCTCTATCTGCACTTTGTAAGTGAGATACTGGGAAGTCGGTTCCCATGTTTCAAAAAGCACTAAAGGTGTTGGACAATTTTCAACCAAGTTTCACGAGAACCTAAAAAAAATTTAGAACATCTAGTCTCGTCTACTAATAAGTTGGATATTTTCAAGGTTCTGACTTACAATGGGAGTCGTTGACTTCGAGGGATCTTCCGACCCTGAGGTGGTCGATGCATGGCTATTAAAGCTCACCCGGACCCTAGATGAGCTCCGTATTGACAATAATGACGATAGGATTGCCATGGTTGTACACGTACTTCATGGGACTGCTAGGGATTGGTGGCACCTTCAATTAGAAAGTGAAGAAGCACCTCTAACAATCACTTGGGATCGATTTAAGGAGATGTTTCTTTATGATTACATCCCTAATATAGTCAGAGATGATAAAATAGAAGAGTTCATGAAGTTGAAGCAGCAGTGGAGGCAAACCGTCACAGAGTACACAGAGTGCTTTAAAAAGTTATTCAGATATGTTGATCTCGTGTACCGGACAGCAGCAGGGCAACAAGATCGCTATGTTCGAGGTTCTTAGCAAATAGGGCATCTCAATCCACAGCTTACCGGGCCGCCCTTCGTATTGAGAAGGATGTGAAGATGGCCAAGCAGGAGAGGGATGCCAGGTTTGATACCAGGAAGAGAAAAGAGTCCACCTACTTGGGGAGCCAGACTCACTCGATCATCACTTTTAAGAAGGGGTCTGGTTCTTCCATCAAACTATAGTCCCAGAGTCAAGCACGTTCCAGTAGGAGTGCTCCAACACAAGATCGAATGCCACAATGCCAGAAGTGTGGAAGACACCATCCAGGTGAGTGCAAGTTTAATAAGGGTGTCTGTTATGAATGTGGTGAGCCTAGCCACATAAAGTTCAACTAACCACGACTTGCAATCCATACAAGGACGATGTTAGAGCCCTCGGTTGTTGGTGGCAGAACACAAATAGGTAGTAGAAACTGTGGCAAGGATAGTAACTTCAACTATAACCACAACGACAGACGCTTCAAAGGTAGAAACAGCCACCACGACCACCATGTTCAAAGTATAAAGTCAAAAATCGGTGAATAACCTTGAGCCTTTGCCATAGAAAAGGGAGAAGGTTCGTATAAGGAAGATGGTAGAGAAGAATCAAGTCACTGAAGCATCTACTTGGGAAATTGAAGAAAATATGTGCAAGAAAAGAGTTGATTCTTGATATGTTTGTAACCGATAGACCTTGGTGATGATTTGATGGTTGCAATAATAAAAATTTAGACTATGAATTTCTTGAGTTCTCATGTCTCAATTTTGGGGATGAAATTTTTATAAGAGTAGAGGAAATGTAACACCCATTCCAAACCCATGACATTGAGCTGGCAATTAAATGATGGGTGGAATTACAGTATCGGTGCTTCCTCCCTTTACATTGTGTTTGGCAACGATGAGGGTGCAAATTGAGGAGTATATGATAGAGGGGAGCAAATTTAATAGAGGTGTAAATGGAGGTGCAAATTGTTGTTTGGGAGAAAAAGTAGGGGTGTATAAAGTAGGTGTAAATATAAATTATTAATATTATTATATTTATATTTATAAACTGATACCAAAAAAATTAATAAAAAAACATAATCTTCCCCACTTTCCACCCTCCTGGACCCACCACTCAATAAAACAATCTCTAAAACCAGACCCCACCTCTCACTAAATACAATAGCAAAATAATAATAAAAAGTCTTCATCTCTCCCCCTCTCCTCTCCATTACGTTTGCACCCAATTTGGGGGGTCACCCCAAATAGTAGTTTTGCTCCTCAAATGCTCCCCTTTATTTCTGTTCATGGCTAACCAAATAGGTGCATTTGCCTAGGGTTCTGCACTTACCCCTCCATTTTTGCTCCCCCACTTTGCACCTCTTCCCAAAGAGAGTGTTACACTATGTTTGGGAAGGGGTGCAAATTTGGGGGGTAAACACAAGTTCCAAGGTGTTTACCCCCGTTTGGTTATTTTGTAACAGTAGGGGGGTGAAAAACGTGAGCGTAAATTCACTATTTCGGCTTACCCCCCAAATTGGGGTGCAAGGGAAGGAAGGAAGGGAGGGGGAAGGGGGAGGAGGGGAATTATGGATTTTTAATTAGATTATAATTACATAATAATTAATATTATTAATTTTTTCTTATCTCTATATTAGTGTAGAAGTTGTTTGGTGTTGACCATTTGACTCAGAGAGCAAGTTTGTCAATGTTCGCCTAGTCAAATCGATATCTCTTAGTTGACCCGAATCTGTATTGAAAATTAGAGATAAGAAGCGTTTGTTGAAAAGATAGAGAGGAACAGTTTAGTTAACTCGATTTACTTTAATAAATAGTTAAAACTTACAGATTCGAACGTGTTTGACTAAGTTTGGCCATATTCAATTTAAAGTTAGGCACGAGAACCCCCTTAGGATGACCAGTTACGAGTTGGATTTCGAGTTTCGAGGTTGCTCGACCAATGATTATTATTATTATAATAAATAATTATATTTGAGCATTATTATATAATAATTATTTTTATTAAAATTATTTTTATTTATAATTTATTATTATATATTGAATTTTCATGTTATTATTTTGTGATAATATTTTATAAATTGATAAATCTATTTTATAATAATATAATTACTTACTTTTTACTCTATTTGCACCCCCCTACTTTTTCATCCAAACAACAATTTACCCCTCCACTTACACCCTCCACCAAGTTGCACCCTCCAACAATTTACCCCTCAACTTGCACCCCCTCGAACTTGCACCCCCTTGTTGCCAAACATAGTCTTAATGAAAGAAACTCCACCCTTGCTCCCATAAATGAATACAATTAAACCCTCCACTTCCCACTGCACCTCTCCCACTACTCCATTATTTTAGACTAGGAATTTCTTGAGTTCTCATGACTCACTACTGCTCCCTCAGAACTACCATCTCACGCCTCACCATCTCACACATCAATCATCATCAATCCCGTCCATCGCCGACCATCTGTCATCACACAAAGTCACAAACCACCAGTGATCCAAGGTGGCAGAGCGAAGGTCGGTGGAATGGGGTCCAACGACCCCACTTGGGAATTAAAAGGATCACAATATACATGGAAAATATGTGCTTTTGTGTGGGCTTTTAAATTAGGACCCCATTGCTAAGTTATCACGTCACTGCATTGCATCCAAGGAGAGCCTGATATAAAGAAAAGAGAGTGGTGGTAATTATTACAATTATGATTTAACTCCTATTCACCGTAATTGTATCTTTACATCTCTTTTCTCACAAAAAGTCCAAAACAAAGAATTGACTTCACTTCACCCCTTCGTCTCCCTAAAGTTTCCCACGCTACTTCTCGAATCTCTGTTGTCATCGGCCATCGCTCATTCCTCTGCTCTTCTCGGCCTCTCGACCACAGACCACTGGTAAGTAGTTAATAGCTAATAACTTATCCTAGCTTGATTCCTCCACAAATCTAAGTTCAACTACCAATTTGATTCCATCTTCCCACCGCTTACTTCCCTACAGTTAACAGACGTGACTCACGTCTAACCCGTTGTCGGACTTTGCCAATCTTCAGTCGATCAAATAAGGTTGGAATTGTGTTTCCGCTAAGATGGCTCGTCAGATACACAAACCCTAAATTGAAAATTCCTCCAAATTCAGAGCTAGCTCGGAGAGCAAGAAAGGTATAAGCCGCAATTCTGTCCATTGATTAATTAGTTTCATATGCGCTGTTTTTATTCATTTTTCAAATTTCTATTTTGTCTTTTGGAGTTTATGTGGAGGTTTGTCGTACAGTGAAGTCAATTCTTTTCGTTTCCTTCTCTTTGGCTTTTCTGTATGCTTTATAATCATCTTCTGTATTGTGTGGTGTATTGTGGGGTTTCATTTTTCAATTGGGATTTTAATACAATTTGGGGGATTTGAGTTTTTTAATCACAATGACATAGTGATTAGATTAATATTATAAGCAAGCATACGAGTCAATGTTGTTGTTTTTCTCTTTATTGGGAACAAGTATATGATTATAATAACTTTCCATTAAACAAGTTGATTTTCTTTGGTAAGATTAATTATTCTCTTTTCTTCATCCATCTTTACTGGTTGAATGTTATTAGATGGAGAGATACTTTCTATTATTAAAGAAGGCGAAGATTACTATAACAAGTGATGCTGAATGTCATGAATCTGGTGTAAGTTAGCAACAAGTGATAACTTCCCATGCAAGGTCATAGTCTCAAGCACAACAGCGTAACCCTTCCTTTGGAACTCAACATGTGGAGTTTGATGTGAATGCTTTAATAGCTAATCCTGGTTTTAGACAAAAAAATTTCAAGTTATCATCCTAATGTTCAAGATGAAGTGAGAAGAGCTTACATTCTTAAAGGTCCTTGCCAGCCTTAAGGACATTGTTTCCCTAATAATCGTATTGGTGTGAAGAAAAGAAGATTTTTTGCTAGTTGGTTTGCTTATCATAAGAAATTGTTAGAATATAGCATTGCAAAAGATGTAATATATTGTCTACAATGTTACCTATTCAAGCATGAGGTACCCAAGAAAGGTGGGGGTGGATCTTTTATTGGTAATGGCTTTTCATGTTGGAATAAGAAGTATAGATTGGATGTTCATGTTGGAGCTGTTAATAGTGTGCACAATGATTCTATGAGGAAGTATGAAGCCTTGATGAAACAGTCTCAAAGCATTTCAGCTGCTTTATCTAAACAATTTGAGCAAAGCAAGAGTGAATATAGAACTCGTTTGGAAGCTTTAATTGATTGCATCACGTTTCTCATACGCAATGGATTGGCACATCGTGGGCATGATGAATCGGAGGACTCGGATAACAGAGGTAACTTCCTTGAGCTTTTGGAATTTCATGCTCGTGGTAGAGAAATAATACAAAGAGTTACGTTGGAAAATGCTCCAAGAAATCTGCAACTCGCTTCTCTAGATATTCAAAACGATATTGTTCGTGCATTATCTATTGAAGTAACTAAAGAAATCCTCAGAGATCTTGGAGATGATTATTTTGCAATATTAGTAGACGAGACTCGTGATGTGTCAATTAAAGAGCAAATGGTTGTAGTAATATGTTATGTTGATGGAATTGGATATGTTGTATAGAGGTTTTTAGGCATTTCTCATGTGGCAGATACAAGAGCTTTGACATTGAAGAATGAAGTTGAGTCATTGCTTGTAAAACAAGGTTTGAGTTATCAAAGCTAAGGGGGCAAGGTTATGATGGGTCTAGTAACATGAGTGGGCAACTTAATGGGTTGAAAGCTTTGATTTTGGATGAGAATTCTTCTGCATATTATGTGCATTGCTTTTCCCATCAACTTCAATTAACACTTGTGGCGGTTGCTAAAAATCATGGTGATATTAGTCTCCTCTTTGGTTATGTAAGTAGCTTGATTACTTTGGTTGGTGGATCTTGCAAAAGATTAGAGTTTGTTTGAAATCCTCAATTATCCAAAGTTGCAAGGGCCTTATCATATGGTGAACTAGAAACTGGGAGGGGGTTGAATAAAGAAACAAGCCTCAACTGACCTTGTGACTGTAACACCCCGACATTCGAATTTAGGTTCGACCAAACGGTTGGATCGAAGTTTGCGTACGAAGGGTTGGAATCGTAGATTAATAATAATAATAATAATAATAATAATAATAATGGTAATGATAATAATAACATTACTATTATTATTAATATCTCCCCACTCTCCACTCGTCCACCATCAGGGAAGGAAAAAAGAAAATTAAAACCCTCCCCAACCCTAGACCTAATACATATATATATATATATATACGTAGAACCAAAAAAAAACCCCTCTTGTACCATCCACTCGCCGCCCTCCTCTAATGCTAGCAACAACGACCATTTTCGCTCTCCTAGTAACGCGGCAGCATCAGCCCCTCTCCCCTGACCCAGCGGCGACCAGTAGAAGTAGACGACGCCAGCCTTTCTCGCCGTCGGCCATCAAAGTCACAGCAGCAGCTTCGGACTCCCGTCCCGCCCCGAACCGTCGACCGTTCCTTGTCTCACCGTTTTCCCTCGCTCGACGACGACTTCTCTAGAGGTGAGGAATGATGGTTTGGTTCTGGTTTCGAGCATAGATTCCTAGGTATGGCTAATCAGATTGTGTTGACGGCAAGGTGGGCGTGACTCGTCGGAAAGTTACGTTGACGGCACCGGCGTAGTCGAACTCAAACAAACTCTGAAACCTTGGCATCATCGCGAAGAGGACGATCCCAGGAGCGTCCCGGTTTTGACGAAATTGAATTTCGACGTCGGACGAGTGAGATACGAGTCCCGAGAGTTGGGGACGCGAATCTGATAATTCAGGTACTAATCTCGTAAATTCGAAAAGTATAAGTACTGAGACAGTATTTTCATTTCAGTCTGAGCGAAAATATCCAGATTAGTCCCCCTTATTAGGAGTTGAAGCAGCTTAGTCCCTACTGTTTTAGAAATTGACAATGGGCCAAAAACTGTATTTTATCAAGATTATGATTATTATAATTGCTTTCCAGTATATGTTTTCGTAAGTTAATAATTTTATAAAGAGTATAAAATCAAGTTGATGGTTGAGTATTAATCTGAGAATTTTTGGACGTGTTTTCCTATTTATAAAAATAGTTAGAAAAACGTTTTTGGTAAACTAAAATAGTTTGCGAGCGTTTAGTCAGTTTTCGAATTTGTCCTGGCAGCTAGAAGCTAGTATGGCTGTCCAGAATTTTATGGAAATTTTTGGAGTTGTTTTGTTAATTTTAAAAACTAAAATGGTGACAGGTTTAATTTATTTCATTATTGTATTATTTATTTTATTATTTCGTTAACTTTTTGCAACACTAGAATTTGGGTTTCATGTGTTAAAATTAAAATTGAGAATTTTAGGTGCTCATAGTATAGATCTAAAATTCTTTATTGATAAAATTCAATAAGTCGAAGGGGTTATTAAGGTGTAAATTTTACTCGATAATTTTGGTTCATGTTTAGAGTTATTCTAAGTCAGAATTTGGAGTTCTTAAAAAGTAAAATATTTGGAGAAATTTATGAGATTTATTTATAGGAGTTTTGAGCTGATAGTAGTAATTCAAGTCTTGGTAAAATTTGGAAAAAATTTGAGAAAATTATTTCAAGAAGTTCAAAGCCATTTTTAAAGAATTTTGGGACTAAACTAGGAGGACGGAAAACTCTACGGAATACCAACTAGGCGTAATTAATCTCGATTGATACGATTATGGAAGCGATCAAGTTAAGGATCTCCGCGTCCAACGAATTAAAGTATCAACACTTGAGAGGTGATGGTAAAGGGGGTAAATTCTACGTCATACGGTATTTCAGTTTTTGAGATTGACTATTACGTGTTATACTTGCCTTTGTGTGTTAATATGATGCATGTGATTGCGTGTAATTTATGATTCCAGTTATACATACTATAATCCGTGCTTTATTTATAGGTAAGTTGAAGTTTAAGAACATGCTTTCTTTTAAGATGTACCTCGCCTTCAAGAAGGTAAAAGCGTTTTAAGAGTTTTATTCACTAGCGCCAGTCCGTTTGCATTTGATATTTTGAGATGAGCAGCAGTTATGCTCTTGAGACTGATGTGATCCTAATTCGAGAATCCACCCAAACTTGGACCAAAAATCTGAATTGCACACGTCGAACTTTTTAGGGGTTTTCTCCTTTCTTGAATAACACGAAATAAAGATACTTGCGGAATCGATCAAACAAACCCGAACTCGTGAGAAGGGCCAGAAGGTATATGAAACCTTCCAAACAATCTCGAATCCGTGGAAGAGGCCAACCGATATCGTCGATGCTCGCCACAACTAGACGCGTTCTCTAGTTGATAAGAGACACGTGAAACCTCTGGAGACTCTCGACAGAAGCTTGCACAAACGTTCACAAAGGAACACGAGTAAAAACTCTTAATTGATAACTTGAATGTTGGGTACAAAATTCGTAGCTCTTACATCCTCTATTTATAGAGGTCACAAACCCAAACTTGGACCAAAAATCAGAATTGCATACGTCGAACTTTTTAGGGGTTTTCTCCTTTCTTGAATAACACGAAATAAAGATACTTGCGGAATCGATCAAACAAATCCGAACTCGTGAGAAGGGCCAGAAGGTATATGAAACCTTCCAAACAATCTCGAACCTGTGGAAGAGGCCAACCGATATCGTCGATGCTCGCCACAACTAGACGCGTTCTCTAGTTGATAAGAGACACGTGAAACCTCTGGAGACTCTCGACAGAAGCTTGCACAAACCTTCGCAAAGGAACACGAGTAAAAACTCTTAATTGATAACTTGAATGTTGGGTACAAAATTCGTAGCTCTTACATCCTCTATTTATAAAGGTCACAAAAACATAAAACTAACCTAAAAGGAATAGGAAAACAAATCCCAAACTAACTAGGAAACATAATACTACTTAAATAAGGACTATAACTCGTTTTTATGACCAAAGGAAGCTCCTTAGCAGCTAAGTAATCTCCAAACACGTTTTTAATGCATAAGGAAGCTCCTTAGTGGTTAAGCAATCTCTTTCCTTGTCCTTTTCACATTTGGATGACTTGGGCAGCAAGGATGGACGTTTTGGGCTCCAACACATGTTGTAGGCCGGATCCTTAATGCATTCTCCATTTTATCCATCAAGAATGCTCCCAGTTGATCCTTAAATCGTTGAATTCGAACCTTCATTTTGGGACCACGAGAATTAAATATCGCGCTAGTTGATATCGCATCATTCCCTCTCTCTTGAAGAAGATTCGACCTCGAATCTTTACAGAATCGTGATCCTTGATGAGCGGTACTCTTCTTGGTCTTCCAACGAAATTGCCTTGGTGAGGATCGTATTATTCCCCCCCTTCTTAAAAACAATTCGTCCTTGAATTGTAGAGACGCCATAATGATGAAAATCCTCCACATAGACCTGAACTTCTCGTCGATTCGTTAGGTGGGCTTTCTCTTCTGAAACTGTCTCACCAATCACAAAATCAATATGAGCAACTTCTGGAACAATTGGTAAATGCTTCATGACTTTCATGGCTTCATCTTCTCCATGAAATTCTGATTCCTCAGTGTATTGCTCAACTCTACGTGCACTCAAATCTGGAACATCAACAAAAATATCTTCTATATCGAAATCTTCATACTCTTCACAAGAAGTATCCAAAAGTGGACCTTCCATAGGCGAGATTTCAATATATTCCTCCTTGTCTTGATGTTGTATTTTCGTTTGGCTCTGAATATCTTGTAGCTGATCTGCTTGAATCTTGATGTCGAAAACTTCTGGACTTGTCTCTTGTGTCTCTATGGTAGCCTCAAAAGATCGCTCTTGTTCTGGATTTGGATTCCTTATCTGCAACTGAGCTTCTTGTTTGATTACCATGGTTGGCGCACTGATTCCCCATGAAGTTGCCAATCGAGTAAGGCTCGCATTTATTTGTGCTTGCCCTTGACGATAAGCTTCTAATTGCATGTTGATATGTCGTAATGTTGCCGCAATGTCTTGATTTGCTCGATCCTCCGCCATTATTGCTTTTTGCCGCTGAGTTTGAACCAGTAATCTTCAAATTGCCGCTGAGTTTGAACCGGGCTCTTGATACCACTTGATGTGATCCTAATTCGAGAATCCACCCAAACTTGGACCAAAAATCAGAATTGCACACGTCGAACTTTTTAGGGGTTTTCTCCTTTCTTGAATAACACGAAATAAAGATACTTGCGGAATCGATCAAACAAATCCGAACTCGTGAGAAGGGCCAGAAGGTATATGAAACCTTCCAAACAATCTCGAACCCATGGAAGAGGCCAACCGATATCGTCGATGCTCGCCACAACTAGACGCGTTCTCTAGTTGATAAGAGACACGTGAAACCTCTGGAGACTCTCGACAGAAGCTTGCACAAACCTTCACAAAGGAACACGAGTAAAAACTCTTAATTGATAACTTGAATGTTGGGTACAAAAATCGTAGCTCTTACATCCTCTATTTATAGAGGTCACAAAAACATAAAACTAACCTAAAAGGAATAGGAAAACAAATCCCAAACTAACTAGGAAACATAATACTACTTAAATAAGGACTATAACTCGTTTTTATGACCAAAG